AGGGACTAAACACGACCCCTTTTAATACATGTTAACCAGGAGTCAGTCATTTATAATCGCGGCATCGTCTGATAAAATCAACATGCATCTACACTAAAGAGCGGCTATGCAGTTGTTTTGGCTATATTACTTTTTTGTCTCATGCAACGCACTGCCTACGTCTGAGTAACAAACAAAAAAAGACAACAAACAAAAAAGTGCATGTGATATTAACAGACGAAGGTTAAAGAGTCGGGCTTGTAACCCGAAGGTTGCGGGTTCGAGTCTCAGGTCCGGCAGGAATTGTCAGTGGGGGGAGTGAATAACCAGCGCTCTCTTCCACTTATGTGTTTACATTGTGTGTGTGTGTTCACTACTGTGTGTGTGCTCACTTGGATGGGTTAAATGCAGAGCACAAATTCCGAGTATGGGTCACCATACTTGGCCACACGTCACTTCACTCACTCACTCACACTCAAAAGAGTGCTAGGAAACTTTATTTTTCCAGATCTATTACACTTAACCTTAATATAGGCAAATTGATTAGTAGAGTTGATTATTCTAATCAATGCTGTTTTCTGTTCTCTTCACAGCTTGCTGGGTTCATCTATGCCTGTTATGTTGTGAAGCTCATTTCAGAAGAGGAGGACAGCTGTGAGTATACTTCATAATTCAGTTATGAGTGTGTTGTTGTTCATGTTTTAATGAGTGTTTGGCTTACACTCAAATAAGGCATGCTTAAAAGATATGTATGAAATCTAAAATGATATGAGATCTAAAATTACATTTATCATATCAGATCTAAATATATTATTTATATTTATACTACGTGGCTGTTGAATGCTTGAATCTGAAAGTTCTAAGGTGTGCAATTATTTTCAGGGAAATGCACGGCTAATATATATATTTTTTTTTTTTATTGTCGTTTGAAAGAAGCAACTAATAAGACAACATTTAGACATGTTTTTAGTTTACAACCTAAAGATGTAAAGATGCATAATGTTTTTATTATTATATTTTTTATATGCTTTAACATGGGGAATATTTGTTTCCTGTGGTAATGAAGTACTGACATAGACATAGCTCTTGGCGGCAGATCTTTAGCCTAGTTTGAATGCCCCTGTAAACATTTGAATTTAGATGTTGCAGGATCTAAGAGATTGCTTTTATTGATCCCAAACGACCAACCTGTGGCCTAGTGTTTTAAAGCAAGGAGAAAATTGTTCCATTTGCAGTGCTCAGACGATCAAACTTACCACCACTACCATGCTGAGACACATGGGTCATTTGCTCACTATCATGTATGCAAACCTGTTTGCCTTACTTTCCTCTGTTGAACACACATAGGAAAACACAAAGCTATAATATGCAGCACTTTTATGATACTTTTTATGGTGATTTTTTTGGTGTTTCACTTTCATTATATTGAAAACTGTGGGCACTACATAGTTCAACATTTCCCCATTTGTGTTCTACAGAAAATCACATGGATCATGACACACTATTCGTTTAATGTGTTTTGCCATCAGATGCTTGTAACTTTTTCTTAGGAGAGTCTTTTGAGGAATAGCTGCAATAACGATGGATATGCAGCCTAACACTGGCATTCAAGATCAATACTGTTGTTCTCTTGCAGAGTCAAGCCTTATTTTCCCTGTTCTCGTCATTCTCTCATCACCAAGCAACTCAAATTGACTGACAGTGAGAGAGATACATGTAAAAGTGTGTGTTTGTGTGGCTGTTTATTAGTTAGGCATCCCCCTTCTTTGTCCTGTATTTTCATTGCATTTTATCAGTTCATCATCAGAGTAATCAGAATCATTAAACTTCACTCTGAATGTAATTAAGCATGGCCGTATTTGGAGGGCCAGCCTCTCATTAAACGGAGTGCCTTCACTACATGTTAAGATCACGAAGAGGGAGCCCTGTGGAAGAATACATCCAGTGTAGCATGATGGTCTATTAATGCAGAATATTTGTGTTTATATGGGTTTTTATGCATGAGTTCACTGGGATGTTGGTCCAAGCTAGAGCATGATCATTTTTTATTATTATTTCTTACTATTATCAATGTTGAAAACACTTAATGTTTTGTAAAAAGTGTGATACTTTTTTTTTAAGATTTTTAGATGAATAGGAAGTTCAAAAGAACAGCATTTTTTTTAAAATAGCAATATTTTGTAACATTAAATTAAATTATACATTACTTGAGCTAAGCTTTGAGCTAAGCTTTGCACCGCAAAAACTTCTGCCGCCACACTGATCGGTTAACTTCCTCAAACATCATTCAGCGGCGTTCCCGTTGTCGAATGGGGATTCTGATTGTCTCAATCAGTGATCAGGAGAGATTCTCGGACATTTGTGTAATTGGAAATCCCTCTCGAAAGTCTCTCCCAGTCAGTCCATGGGCAGCCTAAGTTTGAGTGACTGCCAGAGCACTCGTGAATGGTACACGACTGCACCGTGACATTAGCATCCGTTGAGAGAATATCAGTACTGTTGATGTTCCAAGGGTGGGCAGAGGAAAATTCCACTGAGAAATATAATTGTTGAAGCTCTGAATCCTCCAAGCAGGTGAACGATATTGATGGCTTGGTCCCTGAGGCATGTAGAAACACTAACCGGGACGCCATATTGGCCATTACGGCTTTAATTAATATAGTACAAGAAGCACAGGGTCCATATAAAAACAGGACAGTATTTAAATGATTCTGCCTCTGAGAGCATGGAAAAGCAAGAGAGAGAATTAGGAAGTGTTGGTGCGCGCAAGTTGCGGGGAAACACTTTTTGCATCTATAACAAGGAAATTAGGTTAAGGCTTTCCTTTGGGGATATGCAATCAGGCTTTGTGGTTGCAGGGAGGTGGGAGCTCATGCTGATAGTCTTTGTACGCCGCGTGCGGTTTACAAATGCCTTTGTCGGAGGAAAAGCTTTTGGAAGGGTGAAGCCAAAACTGTAAAACTCATAAAGCCTTGCTATATGTACGCTGTAAGGAGAAAACGTCCATCTCAGCCTAATTCCCTGCAGCGCCGGTGCCAGCGAAATGCCTCCTTTCTGGGATGTGTCTCTTAAAACAGAATAAATAGCTATTTGAGCCGTTTTGTTGAGGTCGAGGGACAGTTGTTGTATGGGTTTGAATGCTAATGCTGTAGCTCAAGGCAACCCACAGACCCTCGATCTGTCCGCTTGCCCACAGTCAATGGTGCTTGTATGTTTTTTGTTGTTGTTGTTTTTTTTACTTCATTACTGGATCAGTGATCCCAGCATTTCCCATTATCTTGGCAGGACTAGCCAGGAAGAATTTCTGCAGTAAAACAACTTGAGATATTTGTTTCATTGGAAAGGGGAAATGTTTTCAGAGCTGTTTAAGAGCACAATGGTATCTGCCCAGAAGCAATCTATTTTAACATTTACCCCCTGCAGACATATTTATGTAAAGAACATTCAGATGGGAATGTTTGGCGCAACGTAATTTTATTTTTGATATGATCAGTGTTTTCCATTTTTATTCAGCAAGGATGCATTAAATTGATCAAAAGTGACAGTAGAGATGTTTTAGATCTATTAATCAAAGAACAATTTAATGAACAAAAATGGTAATAAGAAAAAATTGAGCATCAAATCAACATATTAGAATGATTTCTGAAGGATCATGTGACACTGAAAACTGGAGTAATAATGCTGAATATTCGGCCTTGCCATCACAGGAATAAATTACATTTTAAAATATATTAAAATAGAATACTGTTAAATTGCAATAATATTTCGCAATATTACTCTATTTTTATCAAATAAATGCAGCCTTGGTGAGCATGAGAAATTTATTTCATAAAAATCTTACCGATCCCAAACTTTTGAACATGTAGTCTATATTCATTTTTTCAGTTGAAAAGTTGGTTTTAGTCCTTAAAAGTTTTAAGACACATACCAATTATTAATGTGATGAATTATAAGTGAAGAGTTAAAGCATTTGGGTCTGGACATACAATTTAATAAAGCCTACACTGAAAATATGTTTTTTTCTCTCAGAAATTGCTAGTAAATTTCACGGTTACAAATAAATGGCAAGTAACACATTGGATTAAATGTGAAAATTTGATTAATATTTAATAAAATTAATATTTTTGTAAAACATACTTCAATCTTTTTTTGTTTTATTTACAATTTCAAAAACTTTTTTTTATTTGAATTTTTTTATTATTTTTTTATTTAATGTGAATGATGGTTCTAATGGCCTGTTTAAGACCAATCTGAACATTTCGCTCAAAAACTTCAACAATCCATATAGCGTATGAGTTGATGTGTCACATTATTATTATTTCTTTTGTTGTCTTTATCATTTTGTCAGTTGAATTGATAAAATATTTTAGGACTGTCAATCAAATTATAGCCTGGAACCAATATATTGTTGATTAATTACATGATATGATGTCATATATCAATATATGTTGAGAGTGGAAATTCCAACAGTGTCCTGCTAAATGTGAGCACTCTGGTTTAAACTGCTGGCACAAGCTTTCAGACTGACCTCTGCGGGTCCCCAGATAACACTGATCAGGACAAAGGTCTAACTCCACAGTGAGACCAACATAGATTAGGGGATTTGTAGGTATATGCCCCCTGAAAATCTATCATCAGAATGATAATGGTTCCAGTTTTCCGTTCTCCTTCTGTTTGGGATGCACGAGAGAAGCTCTCTGCTAATTCCACAGCTTATCTCCTGTGTTCGCTGATCTAGGAAACTGATTGCCAAAGCCCGGATCTTTATCGCACAGTTTATTACCTTTGCGTCTTTGTGGAAAGCCCAGATACTCTGGGCTTCCAGGGCCTGAAACAGCTGGTGGGCCCTCACAGAGGGGTCCGGGTCTAATCCTGTCAGTTTGCTTTATGTTAGCCTATCATATAATCCAACAGGCAGCGTGCCACAAAAAGGCCTTCATAGATATCAGTCTCACAGAGGGTCCGGCCGCTGATCATCCACTACTCATGATTAGCACACTGACCCACCCATGCATGGGATACATAATCAAAAAGTACTTATTTGAATGAACGACAACCTTAAAAAGAGTTTAGTACAATAAATTATCTATTTTTGTCCCCCATCTTCCTCTTTCTCTCCCTTTCTCATTTCTTTAGTTGACTTTATAGGAGGGTTTGATTCGTACGGTTACCAAGGGCCACAGAAGACGTCACATTTGCAACTACAACCAATGTATATGTAAGTATAACAAACATGAATGGTTTTAAATCAAACTAACACTAATTCATAATGCGCAACATTGTCTTATAGTTTTAGCAGTGTTTTATTATATATTGGTGCCTCAGGGTAAATTTCCCTGGTGCACTGTATTTTATTCCACTGTTTTTTTTTCCTCAGCTCTCTATAATTGCTCTTCTTAGTAAACTGTATCTAACATGTTTATAAATTTATCAAATTATTTTGATTATTTATTTATTTGTCAGATAAATGTATCGACTTTTATTTTTATGTACATTTATTCATTAAATTATGACTTTTAATTTATAACATAATTATCAGAATATTTATATTTATTTATAATAATTATTATAATTTATATGTGTAAGATAATTGTATTAACTTTTATTTTTTTATTTAAATCTATCAATGAAATTATGATTTTGAATTTATAACAATTATCAGAATATTTATATGTAATTATTATATTTATTTATGTGTAATAGTAATTATTTATGTATCAGATAAATTTAATAACTTTTATTATATTTTATTAATTTTATTTATTTAAATGTATTAATAAAATGATGACTTTAACATATACTTATCAGAATATTTATATATTTATATAATTTTAGAATATTTATGTATTTATTTATTTACTTAGTATGTCAAATACAATTTTATTTCATGTTATAGAAAGCTGACGATAAAATGATATTGATTTTATTATATTTTCATATTAGAAAATTATTTTTCCAATGTATAAATTATAATTTTATTTCTTATGTAATTGAACAAAAGTCATTTATTTCAATTCTAAAAATGTACAGATTAGAAAATAGCAGCAAAATGTAAGTAATAGTGACACAACTAATTGATAACTCAATTCATTATCAGCTATTTTCCATATAGATTTGGTGCTGCAGCTGTAGTCTCTAGACTCGTGTGCTCTCTTATAGTGAGTCAGTGTGTTTGTATCACAACACTCTCTGTTGGACATAGTGGACATACATCGGAGTGGATTTATGAGAGCTGGTTCATGACAGACCTGGAGCAAAACAAAACCCTGAGGAGTATCTCTAGCGGAACATCTCTAAGAAATAATATCATTGTCAGTCTGGCTGGGATAATAGCTTAGGTCAATATTAGGGGAGGTGATCTGTTTGCTTAGTCTATGTTGGCTGCTTAAATGTTTATGAGGAAGTAGTTGAATGCACAGAGGTGGGACTGGGTGATCACTGGGAGATTTAAGAGGATTTGGCTTATTGACACTGATCTATTGGTGATTGTGTTCTATAGAGTCAGCCTTTTATGTCCACAATGCACTCCATTATGCCAGGAGGTGCGACAGCAATGCTATCAAAGCTTAGGCCCATGACCTATATGAAGACAGCTCTTTGATGGAAGACCAAACTACAATAAAGGCAGGGTTTGGGGAGTCACTGAATATTGAATATTGAAGACTAATATTCTAGCCTGCTGCCCATTCACAAAAATTACTCTTAAAGACAGTGACTGCCCTTAATGTGGATAGACAGCTATAGGTAAGCCACTCATAGGTTGATTTCCCTAAAAGTGTACATGCAGGCAATATCAAAACATTAAAACAGTCAGCATAGCAACAATGGTGCAACCAATGACGTGAGTTTGTGGCGTGACTATCTGTTTGTCCAACCAATGGAAGATGAGGGAGTTTATATATATATGTGTGTGTGTGTGTGTGTGTGTGTGTGTGTGTGGGTGTGTGTGTGTGTGTTTATATACATGTATATTTATACATAGACATTAAATGTAAAAATAAAATGCATGTAAAAATAAACAACTTCAACTGTACTTTACCCTATGACATCATCCAAAGTCATTTTTGGCCTGTGGGTGAGATCAGCCCAACTGATGTGAAAACATATGGCGGGGGTCCAAATGTGCCTGTCACCAGTCTTGGCACACATGTGACACCAACGGCAAAATAGCAGCCGGAACATTCCCCGCCATCCTCCAGGGAAGGAAGGACACAGCTGAGCTGCCCAGCGCCACAGTCCAGACACAGGAAAAAAAGCTGACTGAAATGGGATCAGAAAGGATACCCCATATGGATTCAAATAGCAAGGGACTGTGTTGATTTACCAATAATACAGACGTAGTTTGTCCCTGAAGAATTCCCATTAAGAAATCCCTGGTTAAAGTTTGTATAATTCAGAAAAATCAGGGTAACATGTTGTTTATAGCTACACACTACCATTTAGTTTAGTAGCAGTAAGATGTTTTTAATGTTGATGTTGATTTATTTGATCAAAAATACAGTAAAAACAGTAATATTGTGAAATATTATTACGATTTAAAATACATTTTGTATTTTGAAATTTGTATTTATTCCTTTTTTTTTTATTCCTGTGATGGCAAAGCTGGAATTTCAGCAGTCATTACTCCAGTCTTCAGTGTCATATGATCCATCAGAAATCATTCTCTGCTGATTTGCTGCTCAGAAAACATTTCTTATTATTATCAATGTTGAAAGCTGTATTGCTGCTTAATATTTTTTGTGGAAACTGTATATTTATACACATTTCCATTCTCTGCCACTCTCTCCATTCTCTATGCACTCAGCAGAAAGGTGCAATTACATGGGCTTTAGATCAGGGACAAGTAACAATGCTTTATGCAACTCCATCCTCGTCTTCTAGGAACAGATGCTGTAAAACTGGGATTAATGAGGATTACACAGAATCCAGAGAAAGACTACAGAGAAAATGAATTATTCTCTTAAAGAGCCGCACCCCGTCTGTACCCACGGCTGCTCCCCTGGTCTTATTCAGAGAAAGTGTCTTGTTGAAGTTGTACTGAATATTCACTGTCAGCCAGTGTTTTGTATTTATTACATGGCCAGCTGACTAAATCATTCTGTCACGTCATGAGTCTCTTGCCTTTGTAAATGTCAGACTCTCACTTTTCCATAATGCATTGGAGTGCTTTGAATGGCAGGTCCATTCATAAGCAGATGGCATATTTTGATATTTCAGGGAGGAGGTTTTTCTCCACATGCTTCTGTGTGCATGTTGTTTAGTGCATTTTGAGATTGAGTGTGGAGAAAAATAGAATAATGAAAAGTGGAAAAGGTCACAGCAAATAATTAGTTAGAAGGGCAAGATGATATGAGAAAACTTAAATGAAATTAATAGATCTCACTCGGAAGCCCTTTAACATAATGCAAAAAACCCACACATAGGCGTACAGCGGCCTAAAAAGTATTTGGAGATTTAAACGTACAGATCACACTTTCATGTTATCTGCAAACAAATTTAATGCTAGAGGTTTTCTCAGAATTAGCTAGTCTTAATTATCTAGTGTTTTATCATTTAAAACCAACTTTGTTTTGAATCGTCGTTTTAGAAATGTTTTACTTTAGTGAGATTTTCAAATAAACATTTGTATGTTTGTAATTAAAGGTATAGTTCACCAAAAATGAACATTTACTCACTCTCAGGCAATCTAAGATGTAGATGAGTTTGTTTCTTCATCAGAACAGATTTGGAGAAATTCAGCATTACATCACTTGCTCTCCAGTGGATCCTCTGCAGTGAATGGGTGCCGTCAGAATGAGTTCAAACAGCTGATAAAAACATCACAGTAATCCACACGAATTCAGTCCATCAGTTAACATCTTGTGAAGCAAAAAGCTGCATGTTTGTTATAAACAAATCAATCAAAATGCTTTTTAAATTTAAACAAGTCCTCTATCCATAATATTGCTTTCTCCACTGAAAACATTGTCTTATCTGAATCAGAAGAGAAATATGGACAGATCAATAACTATTTACAAGTAAAAACAGTTCTAAACAAATATGTTCAGTAGATTTTGATTTAAGAGAGCATTGTTATGGCTAGAGGACTCATGTTAGCCAAAAGCAATGGTTTGAAGTTAAAAAAGTGAATAATGGATTTGTTGTTTACAAACATGCAGCTTTTCGCTTCACAAGATGTTAATTGATGGACTGTCGTGTGGATCATTTATGTCTAAATCTGGTTTGTCTAGTTGAGTCCTACACCTCATGCCACTCAAAATAAATGCATGATGATCACTTGCTGTCATATTCAGTTTGCAAATGATCTTGGTTTATTTTTTATTTTTTTTAAATCACATTACAATAGGTGTCAGTTTGCACAAACTGGTGCCACTGGTGTCTCTCAAAAGACAAGGTTGCATGACACCTCTGCGTGTGCTGTCTTTTCTTAATAGGAATGCCATTTGGTTTGATATTTTGTTAGTTAATGCAGTGGCATTCATACATTTTTAATGTTAAGTGCTTTGTTTCACCCAGCTGAGCTTAATCAAGCAGGCAGTCAGTCAGTCTTAAAAGCATGCACTGTGATTTATTTGTTTATACTGTCTCGAGATCAGTCTTTAACACTTGTTTTCTTCTCTCACAGGTCAAAGTAAAAGGATAACTGCCTTATCAGCCAATCAAAACGATGAACTGATGTTTGAACTTGTCTTTCTACGTAAATGTCTTAACATGATAGTGTCTTACGGACTGTCGGAGGAACACAGAACCGATACTTTAACCTCAAAGACTCCAAGTGGATTTTCTTTGTCTACGCCCAGCCCTTCCTCCTCCAGAGCGCTGCCGTCAGGCACGAGAGAGCCCTCGTGTGGAGAAACCCCTCAGCAGACTCTCATCATTGTGGCCATTAGCAGTGCAAAACGGAGGAGCAGATTGAGTCAATGATCTACAATAAGAAAGACTTGAAATCGTGCAATGGACCGAATGGATATAGTGTCAGTGTCTCCAACTGACTTTCACGGAAACCATCCATACTTAAAGAATGTTCATTAAATAGTCAGTATGATATTAGTTATCTATTCCTACAATCTTTCAAATGGTGACTTGAGTGGAGAGTCATTATTCCAGTTGTGTTTACAAAGGGCGATTCCAAGCATTGGAATGACCGTCGGTGTTTAATTGCAACCCAAGTAGTTTTTCTTCTTTCTCCTGGATGTACTTGTCTTGAAAGTGCCAAGAACAGTTACGAAAAAGAAAAAAAAACAAATAAAGAAATCAGTAGCTGCTAAGAGATTCATATTTTTTGGAGTTAAACGAAAGTCCAAAAAAAACTATGATTTTATCCGTTCGACGTCACCATGGTATCAACCGTATTTGTTTGCATGAGGTGTCCAAATCTGTTGCGTATTTAATATCTTTCAGCTAGACATAGGCTGACCTTGGAACGGGTAACAGTCGCTCCAAAAGGTTACTTGTGAATATTGTTGTTTTTTAAGACAGTGTTGAGTCTTGTTAACAAAATAACGGATAGAAAACCAATTGTAACTTCTTTCTATTTTAAGCCTTTTTTTAACGTGTGCCAGTGTTCACTCTTTTCTAGTAGACTAATAATTTATTATGCCATGTAAGTGGGCCTTTCTTGTCGATATTCCTGTACATACTGAGGGGGGTAGGGATAGAGATGCAGTATTTCTAGTGGTGAGTTGTGAGGAAGAGTCGAATCGGGTTAGAACGCTTTGTTTTGTGTAGTAACAGGAGCCCAAGAATAACGAGTCTCTAAATGATTTCTTAGCGCAATTGTTCCCCAACATTTAAGCGCGAGGTTAGAATTGCGCAAAATGCTGAAGCTATTCAGGTGTTTCCCCTTGATTTAGCTGTGCTGTATGGCTTCTTTTGTAACTTGCCTCGTGAATGAATATCAACAAAGAGTTTCTTTGAATGCTGCACTTTCAATTGCCTAAAATACTGTGCATATTGTAGCCCTTGGATGATGCGTGAAAGCGAGAAATGTCTTCATTTTGGTCAAACTACCATGCCAAAACGCAGCTCAATAACACATTTTCCCCTTCCTCTACAGATAATGGATGATGAAATATGTGTTTCTCCACTGTATATTATCTTTTCCCTTAAACTGATTCTAGTAACTGTGTGGAGTTGACATATATATGCGGTTTGGTGTCGAATTTTTGGAGAGAAAGTGCCTAAAATTACATCCTGTTAACATTCCAATAAATGGCAATCTGCTCTCACCCAGAACGGCTGTACATAAACAGAGGGTCTGACTGAGCTGTGTTTAATCAAACCCCTTGTGAACTGCACTGGCAAAGCTAAGTGGCTTTGATAATTAATAAAGATATTTTAGCCGCACCACTCTCCAGACCTCACTGGCAAATAATTCCCTGCAGTCCATTGCTGAAATCGCTCTGCATCCGACTCAATATGGAGCGATAGATGTTTGTATGGGTAATGCAATTAATAAGAATGATGACACTAGGAAAGGAAAGCTGTATGGGTATGTCTCACATAACATTCTTTTTGCTTTATGAAAAAAAAACTTTTTTTTAGTAATAAAGGGAATTATTTATTATACAGTTTATCTTACATTATATTATTTATTAGAATACTGTATTGCACAAGTCACAATCTCGTTACTGTAATGCAAAAACAATATCAAAAGTAGATTATTACAGTAATGAGAGTCTAATGAGAATGACCATAAAGAATATTGGGAATTTAAAAAAACAAAACAAAACAAAAATTGGTAATGAGAAAGAAGCAGCAGGAAATGTTATATCAGTAATGTTACAAAATATCTTAAATGTCTTATAATTAATCATAACATATTTATGATCTTAAAATATTATATTGAAGGGGGCAAAAACCTTTTCACAGCACTGTGTATATATATATATATATATATATATATATATATACACACACACACATAAAAGGCCTATTTTTAGGACCTTAATGGTCCTTAAAAATTATTAAATATAAATATCTTAAAAGTCTTAAACATCTTAATGAAAACAATTTTAAGGATTAATTTAATTGATTTTACTTTTTTATTATTTTTGGGTGGAGTTTGGGGTAGATTCCAAATGAGTGAGACTTACATCAGTCTAACTGCTATACTTTCAAGACATTTGTAAAAACATCCTGATTCAACATGGTGCTTGATTAGACTTTATCATATTTAATAAACAGGGCAAAGTTATAGCAAAAATAAATAAAAATAAATTCAATTAAAAAACATGTTTTGGTTCTCAATACTTGCGAGGCACAGTCTAAGCTTACATGAGATTTTCCCTGCATTAATACATGTAAAACAAGACTTGACAGTGTTAAATGTCAGATTTGATCAAATCATAATTATGAGCTGAAAGAAGCCTGAATGAAAATGAATACCATTCAAGTTCAGGAAATCTTGCATGATGCTTCTACCCAGGAGTGTATCTGATGTCACCATGACAATGCTCTAACCAAAACTAAATATAAAATATGGATTTAGAAATTAGTTTAAATTCTTGTGAAGTGTACAACATGGTCCAAACGAAATAACAAATATATATTTGACAATACTGTAAGAGTAGCTTAACCGTCCTCGTTAATTAAATGGTCAACTATGATACTCTAAAACAAATGACACTCATGGTAGATGCTTTAAGCAGCTTTCCAGGTTGTTTTTATTGGGCTCAGTGCTGAGTTTTGAACAGATAGGCCTTTTCTATTTCTGTTACTTTTAAAGAATGACTGTAAATAAATCCAGACTGTGTCAATGACTCTTTATTTTGCGTCTCTTCTCTGTTACTTCACTTCTTTGCTTTATTATGCCATTTCTAAGTATAGTAACATGTCATATAGCACATAGCGACTGTGCCTAGCAACAGACTATAGCTTTGACATTGTCACTGATGACCGTCTTCCACTTAAAAAGAAACCGCTATCAATCATACACCGGAAGCCCTGAATTTCCCTCACAGCAGTAGTGATGTGCTCCAGCATCACGTTCCAGTTGCACACTGCCTTTTGTTCTTTCGTGAATGCTGAAAGCGTTTGTTTTACAGTCATGTGCTGTGCAACTTTTATGTTTGTTTGTTTTTTTAATTGCTATGTATTTTATACATTTTTATTTCAGTTTTAGTTTTATTAATTTTAGTCCAAGTTAAACTTAAAGAGAGAGAGAGAGATGTTATTAGCTGAAATATGTATTTATTTATTTAAGTCTATCAAGTTAAACATAATGAAAAAGAGAAATGTAGCTTTAGCAACTACCTGAAATATTTTATTTTTTATGTATTTATTTTTCCAGTTTTATTTATTTTTTTTTCCCCCTTTAGTTTTAGTTCAGTTTTAGTCCATCAAGTTAAAGTAAATAATACAAAATGAGAAATGTAGCTTTGGCAGCTTGCTGAAATATTTTATTTTATCTTATATTTCAGTTTTAGTTTTATTTATTGTAGTCCACGAAGTTAAATTAAAGCATCGAGTTAAGACGGTGAATCCTTTCTTGGAACAGAAAAGGGGGAAAAATGGCCTCATAGACCACTTTGTTCTCACTTCAGGAGATACCCAGTGGGGGAATCTAAAGGAGTAAGAGTTAAGGAGGGGGAAAAATCAATTGAAACTACTGAGATACTGTATGTGCACTGTGCTTTGAGCTGCATGTGGAGGTCATATCATAATCTGTAAAGTCCCACAACATTTAGAGCTATTGATGATGTGCGGAAAACCCACTGTGCAAAACGGGGATCAATTTTGCTTCAATATTTCAGAGTTCCACATTTCATTCTGTACAAAGACTGTAGGGTGTTTTAAGGAGCACAGAGGGGTTGTGCTGTGGAAAGAGGTGATAGGCTATATAGGGATGAAAGAACATTTTGCTACAGAACGCTGCTGACACTGAAGCTGTTCTCTGAACTTTTTGATGGCACAAGCATTCCCTCCCATTACCTTATCGTTTCAGCCCTGTCCATCAAACACTGAGTCTAGCCCAAAAGTAGCTGAATCATTATGATGCATAATATTTTATCTACAGTATCAATGGGAACACTGTAGAAAATGTAATGACTTGCCACAGGACTGAATCATCTACTTGCTGATTCTCAGTGCAAAGTTTCTTAAGTGTTCAGGAGCAAACCCTTTTTTGATTTGATTATTCAGGCTGCACGATATAACGTTTGGCCCTCTAGCGGTTAAAAATAAAACGGCATGCTTCGGCTCTGCTCCTCTGCGCGGATGAACGTGGTTCGATGGGTTCGATGGGTCGCGGAAGCTCACTTTACTTTTGAGGTCTGGTACAAATATGACATGGGCTAGAAAAATACATATGAGCCTTATATAGCCTATGTATGCAGGTTTAATCATTAAAAGATCGCGATATTATTCCTAAATGACGGTGATTCTGCTATGTCTATTAAACCTTTGAAATCACAATCACATCGGAATATTTAAACCTGCTTTTGCGCAGCCGCTGATCCAGAGAGAGCAGCGCTATAGCGTAACTACAGGCAGTGCAGCCGCACTGGGGCCCGTGCCGCGGGGGGGAGGGCCCGCAGCGCACACGGGCCCTGCCCACATTGCAAGCGACTATATTAATATAAATTAATAATAAACGTATTAATAATAAAACACAATTAGTACCGAGATGCTTCACAGTACTAAATAAATAAATGAATTCGCAGTGAATGAATGTTGCAGCGGTGTAATGGTTGAACTTTTGTCACGCATTTCCGAGGTTCTGGGTTCTAATCCACCCTCATGTAGTTTTTTTTTTTCTCTCATTAAAACCAAAGGTGTTCACGGCCCGTTGTAATAGCCTGCACTGGGGCCCGTCATTACTAAGTTACGCCACTGACTCCTGGCATAGATTAAGAAATGACTGTAACTGTTACGTTTAAAAAAAATGAAGCTTGAGTCTTTTTGGTTTAGTTTTGTCGTGGCCACGAGATATTAATTCGTGGGAACGTGATAATATGTCGTGGCCATGAGATCCTATTGAGGGAACAACTTCTAGTTGATAGTATATGCTACCATATATTTTGCAAATACTGTAAACGCCTGACAATTATGCCAATAAAGTTTTGACTTTATGATTGCATTTACACCTGTATGTACTAATGAGTGGTGTACTAATGATAAATGAGTGGTGTTTTCATTTACAAATGAAACTACGCAAATTATTCATTTATAATTCTAGTATTTATAATTATAGGGTTAGGGTATTTATAGGGTTATTGTTAAACTCATCCTC